TCCCTTGCCCCGCGCCGCCTCTCCCTCCTCCCTCTTTCTTCGGGCAGGCTCCCCCCCACCCCACTTCAGCCTCCCCCACTCTTGCCGCCTCCATATCATCAAGCTCTGGTGGCGCTTGGAGGGCTTCCCGGATCGGCAGGATGTACCCCCAGGGAAGGCACCCGGTGAGTGGGGGCTGCGGAGAGGGGGTCCCCGGTGTCCTGGAACTCAGACCCTGACGTCCCTCCCCAAACCCCCCCAGACCCCGCTCCAGTCCGGCCAGCCCTTCAAGTTCTCGATCTTGGAGATCTGCGACCGCATCAAAGAAGAATTCCAGTTTCTCCAGGCTCAGTACCACAGGTGAAGGGGGCCGCCCCAGGGGCCGCGGGAGTTCACCTGGGCGCCGGGGCGGGGCGGGGCCTCCGGGGAGCAGGGCGGGGAGGAGGGGCTCCCAGGGCGCGGGAAAGGCCTCCAGGTGAAAGCGCAGGTGCAGAGGGGTCTGGGGACAGTCAGAGCTGGGGCATTGGGAGCCCAGGAAGGGGCGGGGAGGGACTGGGACAGGAGGTGCTGGGAGGTCTGTAAGGAAGTCGGGAGGGGGAGATCCAGCCCCTCACTTTGGAAGCCGGCCCACATGGGGCGGTTGGGAGCCCCTTGCCCTCTCTCTCCTTCCCAGCCTCAAGCTAGAATGTGAGAAGCTGGCCAGTGAGAAGACGGAAATGCAGCGACATTATGTCATGGTGAGGGCACTTATGATGCCAGGGTGCGGGGAGAGGCGGGCAGGGCTTTGAGCCACGGTGGACTCTGGGGTAGGTCCCTGCCCTTCTCCGAGCCTCGTCTTCCCTGTCTGTACATTGGGCGGCTTTGGGATTTCAGGGTCTCTCTCTCGGAGGGTCCACCCAGCTCTGGGAACAGAGAGACAGGGAGGACCCCTCGCCTGGTGGGGCCAGGGCCTCTGGACGCTTCCTACCTGCCCTGCCTGTCTGGGGAGAGTAGAGGGGGCCCTTCCAGGCAGAACCCCGACTTTCTCCTCTGGGCTTCTCTTCTGAGACCCCGTGGAGCTGGGGGTGCTCTGCGTCCTGCTGTGATCCCCCGAACCTGGGGGGCTCTTGGAAGACCCTGGCATCACCTGACTGGAGGAGGGCACCCATCTCCACTGCAGAGGTTCTTACTTGGTTTTTCCTTTTCAGTATTATGAGATGTCTTATGGGCTCAACATTGAAATGCATAAGCAGGTAACTGCGTTGGTGTTAAGCGTGTTCAGGAGGGAGGATGGGGGTCTGGAAGCCCTGGGAGGGACCCAGTGTGGGCAGCCGGGGCCAGAGCAGACCTAGGGAACACGGGTCTCATCCTGAAATCTCCTCAGAGGTCACAGAGGGCCCATCTGGGACCAGGAAGGCAAATTTCACCCTCATGGAAGGAAAATGAGTCCCAGCTTCTGAAGACAGTAGCCAGCAGTTGGAGCATCCAGCAGAGAGGCAGGCAGCGGGCAGGGGCCACCAGGCATCCCCATCAAGGAGGGCACATAGCAGAGGCAGGGCAGCCAGGCCAGGGAGGCTGTGGAGGTGACTTCTGTCCCAGGAGGGGGCTGGATGACCACTCTTCGAGGTCCCTTTCAGCCCAGAGAGTCTGAAGTTTTGAGATGGACTCCAGGTTCTGTTCCTGCTTTGAAGCTTCTGAGATTGGTCTCAGTGTGATTGGCTGAGGTTCCGAGATTGTTTTCCAGGCCCTGAATTTGATGCCATGGTTCAGACTGTGACCCCACTTTTCCAAGACAGACCTCAAAACTCTGTGGCTATCTTCAGGGCTTTGAGGCTGACCCCAGTGCCCTAAGGCTCTGAGCCTCTTCCAAAGCTACTCAGTGTGATCCAAGGTTCTGAGGTAGACCTCAAGGTTCTGAGATAGACCTCAAGGTTCTGAGATTGATCTCAGGGTTCTGAGATAGACTCATATTTCTGAAATTGACCTGAGGGTTCTGAGATAGACCTCAAGATTCAGAGATTGACCTCAAGATTCAGAGATAGACCTCAAGGTTCTGAGATAGACCTAGGGTTCTGAGATTGACCTCAGGGTTCTGAGATGGACTCAAATTTCTGAAATTGACCTCGGGTTCTGAGATGGACCTCAGGGTTCAGAGATAGACCTCGAGGTTCAGAGATTGACCTCAATGTTCAGAGATAGACCTCAGGGTTCTGAGATAGAACTCAAGGTTCTGAGATAGACCTAGGGTTCTGAGATTGACCTCAGGGTTCTGAGATAGACTGAAATTTCTGAAATTAACCTGAGGGTTCTGAGATAGACCTCAAGATTCAGAGATTGACCTCAAGGTTCAGAGATAGACCTCAGGGTTCTGAGATAGACCTAGGGTTCTGAGATTGACCTCAGGGTTCTGAGATAGACTCAAATTTCTGAAATTGACCTCAGGTTCTGAGATGGACCTCAAGGTTCAGAGATAGACCTCAAGGTTCAGAGATTGACCTCAATGTTCAGAGATAGACCTAGGGTTCTGAGATAGACCTCAAGGTTCAGAGATAGCCCTCAGGGCTCTGAAATAGATTTCAGGGTTCTGAGATTGACTTCAGGGTTCTGAGATTGACCTGAAGGTTCAGAGATAGACCTCAGGGTTCTGAGATTGTCTTATTTATGTGCTGAGATGTGTTAAAAGGTTTTGAGGCTGTTCCTGAACTTGTGATCTCAAGGTTCTGAGATAGACCCAAAGATTTTTTTTTTTTAATTTTGAGATAAAAAATTAATTTTTAAAATTTTAATTTTAATTTAAAATTTTTAATTTAAATTTGAGACGGAGTTTCACTCTTGTTGCCCAGGCTGGAGTGCAATGGCCCAATCTTGGCTCACTGCAATCTCCAACTCCTGGGTTCAAGCGATTCTCCTGCCTCAGCCTCCTTAGTAGCTGGGATTACAGGCGCCTGCCACCATGGCTGGCTAATTTTTTGTATTTTTAGTAAAGACGGGGTTTCTCCATGTTGGCCGGGCTGGTCTTGAACTCCTGACTTCAGGTGATCCTCCTGCCTCGGCCTCCCAAAGTGCTGAGATTACGGTGTGAGCCACCACACCCAGCCAATAGACCCAAAGATTCTAAGATTGACTTAATTGACTTCAGTGGTCCATGCTTCACCCTGAGATCCTGAGACCGGCCAGTGGTTTGTAAAGGGATGAGAGGGGTCCCAAGCTTCTGAGCTTCACGGGCTCTTAGATTCTATCAGAATATTAGAATCAATGAGCAGAGCCTTGTATTGGGACTTCCTGGTGTCTGGGAAGGAGAAGGGTGTGGGCTGGGAGTGTGGGGTGCCTGGGGGTGCCCACCCTAGCATGCTTTCCTGCATGTGTGGGGGCTCTGTTGGTTCTGATATGGGTAGGAGGGGGCTTGTCTGCTGAAGCATGGCGTGGTCGCATGGGTCCATGCAACAGACCCCCTTATGAGGGTGCGGGACACCCTGGAATCCCGGTTTCACCCTCCTGGTGGTAATAGGAGACACAGACTCCACCAGACACACAGCACACCTGTAACTCAGGCAGAGGCGAAGCCCGCGGCCATTGTATGCCCGCCCCCTTCCCCACCCACATGCCTCCTCCTCTGCTCAGCCTCTTTGAGGCACCTGGGCCCAGACCCTCTACAGATGAAACCCTTCCCTTGAGTGTGGAGGGCTGAGATCTCCACCTGGAGGCAGCCCCAGCTGGTAGATCAGCCCTGGGAAGTGGAGGAGACCAAGAGAGGAGCCTTGCCTGGGAGAGACGTGGGCCCAGCCAGGGCTGGAATCTGGGACTCCGGGCGGAGGCCCCTTTCCTTTGTTTCAGCTGAGCCCAGCACCTCAGTGTCTGCGTCTGAGTTGGGTGTCTGAGCGTCTGCCTCTTGCAAATCCCTGGCGGGTGTGCGTCTGGCAGGTGGTGTATCTGACTCGTAGGACCTCAGCCCTGGTCTTCCCAGCTCCAGGCCACGCTGGGCCTCGCTCAGCTGAGCACACAGCCTGGTGGGGCTCTGAATCCCGCCTCGGCCCATGCCATGCTGGCCTGAGTTCCCCTTGTGCACCTGCGGGCGCCACCTCCCCAACCCTTCCGCTTTGCAAGCACCTGGTCCGCCTGGGAGTCCAGAGCTGGGTTGCAAATCTCTACCCCTCTCCAAGCTTCCTCTTGTTGCTTCCTGCCAGGCGGAGATTGTGAAGCGTCTGAGCGGTATCTGCGCTCAGATTATCCCCTTCCTGACCCAGGAGGTGAGTGAGCCTGGGGGTGGCGGGGAGGAAGGGAGGGGGTAGGTCTGGGCGAGGACGCCCCAGGCACTGATTCTGCTGCGTAGCCTGCAGCACGGATAGAGACCGTTTTTTCTCACTGCGGTAGTCCGGCAGCCCTGAGACCAGGCATCCAGCTGGGGCAGGGGCTGCAGGGATGGAGGGAGGTGTTGGCTGAGGGTGAGGACTGGGGTCTTTTTTCCACCTTGATCGGAAGCAAGGTGTGGAGCTGACTCCCTCAAGCCCTGCACGTTGGCTGCCCGGGTCTGAATCCTGGCTGTGTGGCCTCAGGCAGGACACTTGTCTCTCTGTGTTTGCAGTAGCGTAGGTGTGAAGGTGAGATGAGCTCATGCACCCAGGGCCCTGAAGATGATGGGTGCGCTTACTCGGCACCCGATGAAAGTTACCCCTGCCGTCATGCTAGGAGAAGTCACAGAGGGACAAACCCTGGGTGATCCACTCCTAGGAGGTCCCAGAGTTGTCAGGTTCACTGAGACAGAAAGCAGAATGGGGGGTGCCAGGGGGTGGGGAGGGGACCGGGAGTCAGTGTTTCATGGGGACAGAAATTCCGTTTGGGAAGATGGGAAGATTCTGGAGATGGTGCTGGTGATGGCTGCACGACCGTGTGTGTGCTTTACACTGCTGAGCTGTGCACTTGCAAATGGTGAAAATGGCCTGTAATCTGGCCGGGCGCGGTGGCTCATGCCTGTAATTCTAAAATTTTGGGAGGCTGAGGCAGGTGGATCACCAGAGGTCAGGAGTTTGAGACCAGCCTGTCCAACATGGTGAAACCCTGTCTCTGCTAAAACTTAAAAAAATAAAATAAAATAAAATAAAATTAGCTGGGCATGGTGGTGTGTGCCTATAGTCCCAGCTACTCGGGAGGCTGAGGCAGGAGAGTAGAATTGCTTGAACTCGGGAGGCGGAGGTTGCAGTGAGCAGAGATCGCGCCACTGCACTCCAGTCTGGGTGACAGAGACTCCGTCTCAAAAA